TTTTCGGGAATTTTGTTTTTTTTTTTTTTTTTTTTTTTTTTTTTGTTTTTACCCTCCCCTGTTCAGTAAGTTTTTGTTACTCACCGTGTCAGGTGAAGTACTGTTGTTACTCACCTGTGTTTCAGGTGAAGTACTGTTGTTACTCACCTGTGTGTCAGGTGAAGTACTGTTGTTACTCACCTGTGTGTCAGGTGAAGTGCTGTTGTTACTCACCTGTGTCAGGTGAAGTACTATTGTTACTCACCTGTGTGTCAGGTGAAGTACTGTTGTTACTCACCTGTGTCAGGTGAAGTACTGTTGTTACTCACCTGTGTCACGTGAAGTGCTGTTGTTACTCACCTGTGTCAGGTGAAGTACTGTTGTTGCTCACCTGTGTCAGGTGAAGTACTGTCGTTACTCACCTGTGTCAGGTGAAGTGCTGTTGTTACTCACCTGTGTCAGGTGAAGTGCTGTTGTTACTCACCTGTGTGTCAGGTGAAGTACTGTTGTTACTCACCTGTGTCAGGTGAAGTACTGTTGTTACTCACCTGTGTCAGGTGAAGTACTGTTGTTACTCACCTGTGTGTCAGGTGAAGTACTGTTGTTACTCACCTGTGTCAGGTGAAGTACTGTCGTTACTCACCTGTGGTCAGGTGAAGTACTGTTGTTACTCACCTGTGTCAGGTGAAGTACTGTTGCTACTCACCTGTGTCAGGTGAAGGACTAGATTTTAATGCGTCTAGAAGCTTTATCTTCTGCCACCAACAAGACTACGACTAAGACCACCAAAACCACCGTGAACTGTCTGGCTGTCTTCTGGACTATCTTGTGATGCAGTGGTTCCTGCGTCACTTTGTGTCCCGCTGGTTCCTTGATCACCTGGTTGCTCGGTGGTTCCAGACGTAGCAGTTGCTTGAGTGTAGGCAGCTGCCAGCAACACAGTCGCCAACAGGAACAACACAGTTCTCATTGTGATGATGGCCTCAACTTACTGTTGAAGATATCAAGTGTTACATTAACATCTGTTTAATGATGAAACACGAGGCTGGACTCAAGCTAAGAGACAAACATTATAATGTTTACTCTAACATATGTCTGCTTCAGGAGCTCACCCTCTATAAGGGAAAATAATTTGACCTATCCGACTCTTTTTTTTTAAGCTGACTGTTTAATTATATCTGAGCTGCATGACCTCTTTCGGATTTAGTGAATCGCCGTACAAACAATAGCCATGATATTGTCTGAAGATGTGTGTAAACATGCAGACCTCTTTGTATCTTATTCTGAAGTGTCCCTGTTCGCAGATGACGTGAAGTTGATGAGAAGAATTAAATTGGACGAGGGTGAGGCAGGACTGCCCAAAGAGACCTGACAGGCTGGACATGTGGTCCAGCAACTGGATTCTCGAATTCAATCCAGCCAAATGCAAAGTCATGAAGATTGGGAAGGGGCAAAGAAGACCGCAGACAGAGTATAGGCTAGGCTGACAAAGACTACAGACCTCACTCAGGGAGAAAGACCTTGGGGTGACCTCAAACACCGAGCACATCACCGAGGCAACACATCACAAATAACTGCTGCAGCATACGGGTCGCCTGGCAAACCTGAGAATAGCGTTTTCCGATTACCTTAACAAGAATCGTTCAAGACACTGTACACTTGGGTAATGTTAGGGGCCCATACTGGAGTAGTGGCAGCACCAGTCTGGAACCCACACCTGTCCAAGCACGTCCAAGAATTTAAGAAAGTACAAAAGGTTTGTCAAAAATGCAGTCCCTAGAGCTCAAAGGAATGACGTACGAGAGGAAAGGTTAAGGGAAATCGGACTGACGAACACTGGAGGACAGAAGGGTCAGGAAGACATAATAACGACATACAAGATACTGCGATAACAAAGGTGGGACAGAGATAGGATGTTCCCAGAGAGGGGACACCAGGGACAAAGGGTCACAACTGGAAGCTGAAGAATCAGAAAACGAGTCACAGGGACGTTAGGAAGTATTCTTCAGTCCATAGAGTTGTCAGCAAAGTGGAATAGCCTAGAAAGTGAGTAGTGGAGGCAGGAACCATACATAGTTTTAAGCGAGAAGGTAAGACAAAGCTCAGGAAGTCAGAGAGAGAGAGGACCCAGTAGCGATCAGTGAAGATGAGGGCCAGGAGCTGAGTATCGAACCCTGCAACCACAATTAGGTGAGTACAACTAGGTGAGTAACATAACACACACAACACACACATACACACACACACAACACACACATACACACACAACACACATACACACACACAAACACACACACACACAACACACACACACACACACACAAACACACACACAGAGTATAGGCTAGGTGGACAAGACTACAGACCTCACGTCAGGGAGAACGACATTGGGTGACCATAACACCGAGCACACAATCCGGCGGCACACATCAACCAAATAACTGCTGCAGCATACGGGCGCCTGGCAAAATGAGAAACATTCAGTACCCTGTACACCGTGTAACGTTTAGGCCAATATTGGAGTAGCGGCACCCGTTTGGAACCCACACCTAGCCAAGCACGTAAAGGAAACTAGAAGAAAGTGCAAAAGTTTTGCAACAAGACTATCCAGAGCTAAGATAGTCCTATGAGGAGAGGTTTTAAGGGAAATAACTACGACAACCTGGAGAACATGACGAGATAGGGGGGGGGTCAATGATAACAACATACAAAAACTGAGAGGAATTGACAAGTGACAAAGACAAGGATTTCCAGAGATTGGACACAGTAACAAGGGGACACAGTTGGAAGCGAAGACACAGATGAATCACAGGATTTTAGGATGTATTTTCTTCAGCCACAGAGTAAGTCAGTAAGTGGAATAGTTTTGGGGAAGTGCGATGTAGTGGAGGCAGGATCCATACATAGCTTTAAGCAGAGGTATGATCAAGCCACGGCTCAGGGAGAGTGTCCTAGTAGCGATCAGTGACAGAGGCGGGGCCAGGAGCTTCGACTCGACCCTCCGCAACCTCAACTAGGTGAGTCCAACGAGGTGAGTACACACACACACACATACAACACACACACACACCACACACACACACACACACTCACACACAGCACAGCACACAATTAAATCGGATGAGGATTAGGCAGACTTCAAAGAGTAATCCTGGTACAGGCTGAACGTGGCTTCTCGAATTCAATCCAGCCAAATGCAAAGTCATGAAGATTGGGGAGGGGGCAAAGAAGACCGCAGAGCAAAGTATAGCTAGTGGTCAAAGACTACACACTCACTCAGGGAGAAAGACCTTGGGGTGACCATACACCGAAACATCACCGGAGGGCACACATCAACCAATAACTGCCTGCAGCAATAACGGGCGCCTGCAAACCTGAGAATGAGCGTTCCGATAACTTAACAAGAATCGTTCAAGACACTGTACACTGTGTATTTAGGCCCCATACTGGAGTATGGCAGCACAGTCTGAACCCACACCTGGTCTAGCCACATCAAGAAGTTAGAGAAAGTAACAAAGGTTTGCAACAGGCTGGTTTCCACAAGCTCAGGGGAATGTCGTACGAGAAAGGTTTGAGGAAAATCGGAACTGACGACACTGGAGGACAGAAGGGTCAGGGGAGACATGATAACTGACTACAAGATACTGCGAGGAATTGACAAGGTAGACAGAGACAGGAGTACCAGAGAGGGGACACAGAAACAAGGGGTCCACAATTGGAAGCCTGAAACTCAGAACCGAGTCACATTGGACCGTTAGGACGTATTTCTTCAGTCACAGAGTCGTCAAGAGTGGAATAGCCTAGCAAGTGAAATAGTGGAGGCCAGGAGCCAACAAGTTTTTAAGAAAGGTATGACAAATTTTCAGAAGCGGGAAGAGAGAGAGAGGAACCCGTACGATCAGTGAAGAGGCGGGCCCAGGAGCTGAGTATCCGACCCCTGCAACCACAATTAGGTTGAGTACAATTTAGGGAGTACACACACACACACACACACATAAACGACATACACACACACACAGCATACACATCACACAAACCACACCACCACACAGACACACACACACACACACCACACACACACACACACACACACACACACACAGTATAGCTAGGTGGACAAAGACTACAGACCTCACTCCAGGAGAAAGACCTTGGGGTGACCATAACACCGAGCACTCACCGGTGGCACTCAGCAACCTAATAACGCTGCAGCATACGGGCGCCTGGCAAACAGAGAATCATTCAGGACCCTGTACAACCGTGTACGTTGGCCCCAATATTGGAGTATGCGGCACCCTTTGGAACCCACACCTAGCCAGCAAGTAAAGAAACTAGAGAAAGTGCAAAAGTTTTGCAACAAACTAGTCCCAGAGCTAAGATGTAAGTCCTATGAGGAAGAGGTTAAGGGAAATCAACCTGACGACACTGGAGGAACAAGGAGAGATAGGGGGGCATGATACAACATACACAAATACTGAGGGAGGAAATTGCAAGGTGACAAAGACAGGATGTTCCAGAGATTGACACAGTAAACAAGGGGACACAGTGGAAGCAGAAACACCAGATGAATCACAGGATTTTAGGAAGTATTTTCTTCAGCCACAGAGTAGTCATAAGTGGAATAGTTTGGGAAGCGATGTAGTGTATGCAGATTCCATACATAGCTTTAAGCAAGTATGATAAAGCTCACGTTCAGGAGAGTGTCCTATAGCGATTCAGTGAAGAGGCGGGGCCAGGAGCTCGGACTCGACCCCCGCAACCTCAACTAGGAGAGTACAACTAGGTGAGTACACACACACACACATACACACACACACACACACACACACACACATCACACACAGCAACACACTACACACGAGTGATAACCAGAGTTATTAGTTAAAAAAAGTCGAGAGGAAGCCTGAAATCTTTAATATTTCAAATGTCAAACCGTTAGTCGGATAGTAGGGCTTCTGTTGCTACACAGATTCAAAAATACAAATGATCAAGTGAGTGTGGAAGCGGGTGATTCAATAATTTCGAGAGATTGGATAACAAGTGAAATGTGGAGCAAAACCATACAGTGAGAGTGACAATAATTAAAAGCAAAAGCAGAAAGGAAAATATCATATGATAACAAGGGAAAGTGGCATTTAGCCTGCTGAATCAGTGACGCACAACAGTTGTGTGGACAACTCAAATAAAGTGTAACAAAACAACCGAATGTGAAGTGTAAGTGAAGTGAACTCTATCAAAAGTGACACTGAGGAACGCGGGAGCCTGAGCATATACGTTTATAAAGATCACAGGTGAAAAATTTTCAATAATAGTGAAAGAAGGCTACGTCATCAAGCATTCTGGCAACTTGTCATCGGCATCTCTGCCAGCTTAAGTATACTCACCTGTTGGGGTTGTCTTTTTGGGGGGTGGGGGGTCCTGAATCCTGCCTTGAGTCACTGTTAGATACTGTTCCACTCACATCTTCCCTTGCAAGCTATTACCAGAATAAGCAGGAATAGCATAGATTAAGGTGAAGATAGGGTTGACTAGCGAGGGAGGCAGCATAAAGCGAGTCGGGAAGCCTAGTGACACTCCTAGACCACCTCTCCTAGAATCTCCAGACAAGATAAATTTTACAAACCCTAACTACTTGTTGTTTTAAGTAGAAGTGATAAGTGCTAGGAATCACTGTTGGCAGTTTTTTAGAACTTACTGGTAATAACCCGTATTTATTAGCAGTATAATTAATGAATACTACTTAGAAGTGTGGGGGGCAAACAACAACAACACATACACACAACACTAAAAACACACACACAACACCACACACACACACACACCACACACACCCACGCCACACGCAACACACACATACACAAAACCCATACACATACACCATCATACACACACATCATACACACACATACACACATACACACCACATACACACAACATACACACATACACACTACAAACATACGCACACAGGAAGCACGGGGAGCACTTGTA